GTATTGTAACGAATTAAAGAATTAACTGTCTCAATAAAATTTATTTTTAACAATATTTCACTATCACAACTAATTTATGTACAACACTTACTAACTAACGCTTAATTTATCTTCACCGTTTGTTAACCGCTCGATTCGCTTTCTTGGTACAGATTACTCTTCGGGACGAATAGCGACGTTTTTATATCGTCAACGAACGTTCCGGATCCCTCTGCGGATTTCGGGACCTATCCGGAGTTTTCGCGGTATGCGTCATGCGTTGGCTGACAGGGACACCGGTCAGGGGCTTCAGATTCATTACAATATGTAGATTGAGTATTTTTGATTCTGTATACGTTAATTCTCAAATAGTACTTGTATAGTTTTCTGTTTTTTTTTGCAAGGTTAAGTTAAAAAGCAGCCTTGGCCGATACTTCACCTTTTCGTCGACACAAATATTGTTCTGAAATTTTGTATTTTATTTTCATCATATCGATGAATAAAGATGATTATTATCATTATTATTATTGATAGATGTTACTACAGAATACAATTTTGTGTTTATATTCCATATCATTTCCTCCAATGACATCACAAACGTGGCAGCCAAAATTGTTGACATTTCGTAACCCCTCTACTTACTAATCCTGACCAAAACTAACTTGAAGAATTATTGATACCAACATGAATTTTTTTATGTCATCGTAAATATCACTAAATGGATACATCGTCATTGGAGACTGAAATCTAGGGCTATTTATGTTTTTAAATCATTAGACATTAGATGTCCTTGCTTATATGACATGCCAAGAAAGATATTGTGGAGTTAAGACCGTAATTAAATCATTCATTAGTTTACAAATTCGTTGTGTTTGTACTACAGGACAACTCGATAATTTTTAGTGAAATACAACAGAAGTCGATTCTAAAATAAAATGTCTACCCCAGCTCGTCGGCGCCTAATGAGAGACTTCAAAAGGTAAGTGATTCATCTTCCTTAGTTCCATAAACCCCATTTATTCTATCCTTGAAACATGAAAAAGTTAATACGTGTGTTCTCGCAGATTACAGGAAGATCCTCCAACCGGGGTCAGCGGCGCACCCACTGATAATAACATTATGATATGGAATGCAGTTATTTTTGGACCCCATGACACCCCATTTGAAGATGGCACATTTAAACTAACTATAGAATTCACAGAAGAGTATCCAAATAAACCTCCCACAGTACGATTCGTCAGTCATATGTTTCACCCTAATGTTTACGCAGATGGAGGAATTTGCTTAGATATTCTTCAAAACCGATGGAGCCCCACATATGATGTATCGGCTATATTAACTTCCATTCAAGTAAGTGTAGAAAAGGATATTTGCGAAGGGGGTATCATTGCATTATTTCTGCCTTCACAAAGTTATTTCTTCAAATTATTTGTCCTATTATATGAAAGCCAGTGGAAAATGTTTAAATTTAATGAATGAAAAAAGGAAGATTATGAGGACGGTGTAGAAACTATTTGTTTTTCCTAAGTGTGAAGGTTAGAATACAGAAAAAATAACTATAGATCAAGCTACACAATCGTGAGCCTCACATCCATAAATACTTGTCATAGTTGGATATATGTTAATTGGGCTCATTTTGCTAGATTTCAAAGCAAGTGGGTGTTACTACTATAGGTTTTTCACTAAAGAAAAGAATAATGGTGGACCTTATAGGTAGTTACTTCAGATTTACCAACTTCTGAAGGGAAATCTAAACAATGCATTACTTTTGACGGCATTCTTCTTGAAATAAAACGAGAACAAATAGACATTGATAGAACAAGTGATTTCAAGGTTTCAAAAGTATGTGATTCAAATAGAAAAAGCACTGTTGTACAGAAGAGAATAAAGTTCTTGAAAAAATACCATTAGCTTAAAAGGAATTTAGGAAGATGAATACATACAATTGATCAAAACTAGTGACAGTGTTAATGAAGATAAAAGGCATTTAGTAAGTAGTACTTCCTAAAGAATGCAATATTTTTCAAAAGGTACAGGGCTACAAATTTTATTGTGTTTTATAGGAAATATAACCTTGAAAGTTGTTGTGGAATTGGCCGCGGTAGTAGTACGCCCGACTCACGATCGGAAGACCGTGGGTTCGATTCCTGCCTCGACCAGATATTTTTCTCGAGAGAATTTATCTGGTTGAAGCTGGGATGATTCTGCAACCGTGTTAGGAATTACACGTTAAAAGGTAAGACCTCGTTAGTCCTTAGCTCGCACAAGTTTCTCAACTTCTATGGGGGTGACAGCTGATTAACGGGAAAACAGATTTTTAAACAGAAACTTAATATGACCTATTATCGTTTTTTCTAATTGAGGTAACGTATATAAAAAACACTTTGATGGAGATTTCCGCTTGACAGTTTACAAAACCACAACACGAATTTCGCTATACAGTTGCAACTTCAGGTGTCACAATTCTCAGTGTTTTGTTTGAAGGTGGTTGACAGTGTTTCGTGGTGCATTTTATTAGTTCAGACTTCCAATAAATTAATTTGAAATTCCTGAAAGAATCTGTAAAAAGTTGAAAAGATTAGCTGAAAAATAACAATTATATTAAGAAAAATACGAATTATTGATGACTATTACTTGAAATATATTCACTACATTTTCTTTTGAATGAATTTAATGAATCACAGCTTTTTATATGACTTGGCAAATTATTAAATGCAATCAGACTAGAACTATACAACGAGTCACAACCTACATGTTCTCTGTTGATATAAACATTTCCTATTCTATTTCTAGTAGAGTGTGTATGAATACTACTTGTGTAGGTTAACTGATCACTCAGATAATTTGGCAACATACTGTGTTTAATTTTAAATATAAATGTTAGCATTGCTTGTTGCTTGTATTTCATTATAATTTCAGTTTTTTGCTTTATATAATTCTTTCAGGAATTTCAAATTAATTTATATTAGACAATGGAAGTCCGAACTAATAAAATGCACAATTCTCGGTATTGCAATGCTATTGTATGATAACTTGCTATTCTATAGCGAAACACTTGTCATGGTTTTTTAAACTGTCAAGTGGAAATCTCACATTGAAGTGTTTTTTAATACGTTTTAATGGATTTTCATCAAGTATCTATCTGTTACGAGACCTGATCACTGTCATCACTACTTATTCCATCGAAACAAAATAACTATAATAGTACTACAATTGATTTGCATATTCAAGTACCAAAAATGTCTGTATATGACCAATTCGTTAGTGTTTGCCCCGATATCTGATATCTGATAAGAGTGTTCAGTTCTATATAAGCACACAGGTGAATAAACTGATTTTACAAGAACATACGTTTCACTTTCTAGTCTCCACTTTTGGTGGGTTAGGTAAAGACAAAAAATATATAAGTATGGTCTTTGGTGTTTTATGGATTAGAGTTGTTTCCCCAACGAATTTACTGAATTCATATAGTGTGTTTTGTGCAAGTGTATGTGGGATTGTTCAAGTGTTACTTAACGCAATTTAGGGGAAGGGGGGTCTTGTAAACCGTTACAAAGCGTTTCAGGGCCGGTAGGGGGTTTCGAACAACGTGTTACGTAACATTGTTTTTTTTTTAATTTAAATATAGAACTGGGAAATCAAACTCCTCCAAATTGGCTACCATTTTCATTTTATGTTTTACGGGGAATCCCTCGACTGTATTCTATGTCATTTTTATTTTGTTCCCCCAATTGACAACCTTTTAGTTCACATTTTACAGGGAATTCCTAAACTGTATTGTATGTTATTCTTATTCTGTTTAAGTTGGCAGTATTCGTAATTGTTTTAAATGCATAATATGGAGTAGTAAATGGGAGTGATCATCGCGCTTGCAACAATGTATATTTTTCAAACCTATTGCCGACAAATCACGTTATTTAAATTATGGATGAATTTTTTTTTTTTTTATTCAAGGATTGGTAAGCTATTATTTTATTTCCGTTAGCTTTCTGTTTCTTATTGCATTGCAACAGGTTAAATTAAGTATATGATTTTATTTCAAAAGTTTGTTAGTGAAAATGAAGCTGAAATGGGAAAAAGCATGAGAAGAACAATAGATGATGAAGCCAAAAATATATGGGTCAAATCAATAAAACGAGGTAATTGAATGTAAGATTAGTAGTAAAAGTGTATCAGTTGAGCCTATTTTAACATACTTAACTAAATGTTAATTTATATGTGATTGTTAAATAAATGAATAAATTAAACAATATACGCATTGCATATAATTATAAATCTTTTGTCTTATTCATTATTAGCGCAAACGCGATTTAAACAATAACAAAAGTATTTTAGCGACTTACCAGTACTTTGCTCAACATAATTGTGACTTTTAGGTAAAAATGGTCACTTGGTTGTTACGTAACGTTTAGGGTGGGGGAGAGGGGTACTGTAAAACATCAAAAATCTTAAAAAATTGCGTTATGTAATACTTCAATGGCCCCCATGATAAAGAGCCAAAAAATTATTTTCAAATAAGTTTCTAATCTCATAATCTAAATATAGCCCAGAAACTTAAACTGAAAGCTGAATAAACACGAATTAAAACCCATAGACAAAAATTTCGAATTTGTAACATTGAGGTAACACTGATTAATTTACAAAACCACAACACCTTTTTCACTGTGCAATAGCTTTCTCAGACATATTTGTACTGTATGAACTAAGGTGACCGCCAAAAATCTGAATTTTGTTCGTCTGGACCCCACAAAACGATTCCCCTTTCCAGATATTGAGATAGCCGAAATTTGAGCTCGATTAAACGATGTTAACCCGTGCCGCTCGTCGCTCAAAGTTTGAAAAAACCCAAATTTTTGGCCAAAAAGCTGACATATGGAGCCATAACTCTAGAGTGGTAAATAATGAAAACACTCTTAATATCTCAAAAGAAAGCTAATGTTCTTCAAAATTTATATTCTATACATAATAGTTGTTATTTTAAGTTAGCCCAAGTTACAACAGCCTTTAACCCCAAAAATGTGACCTGGTACCACTAAGAGCATACTTGGTATATTTTATTATTAAGTGGTAAATTTTGCTTTTTTTTTGGTATATTTTTGAGTTCAAAGTAGAAATATAATTTTAAAAAAACATGTAATACTTATAAGTCTAATGACATTTTTTATATTTTAAAATATAAAAATTAGGTATATAAGACATACAAAACAGACACAGAAAAGTCACAGACGTAGTATCTACATCAGTTGATAATTTTACATAGTTATATAATCTTAGAGCTTTTGTTAAAGTAGTTTTTGAACCGTCAGGATATCAGGTTGTAAGTAAATGCCGAGCACGGCATTTACTTACAACTTGCAGGACATATTGCTTTTGGTCTTCATCTTTTGTCAGAAGGTTGTTGAAGTCAGTTATTAATTTAACACCAAGCTGAGTCATATCATTAACTACTTTTAATGTTTTGACAATTTTCAGTACTTCTTGGAAGTCATTAGTTTGAGACGAGGTGTTTAGATGTTTTCTTAGGAAATCTGTTTTTATATTAAATCGGTCATATAGTGTAAACGGTTTTTTGATAAGTAAATTTACCAATCCTCCATGAACTACCTCTTTTAATTTTTCTTCCCTAACTTTTGGATTTATAACCTTAGCATGCTCTGATGGTTCATCTGTGCTACTGAGCAATTTATTAACCATTTACAACTTTTTCTCGTCTGTAATGGTGGGTTCAAAAAAAGATAATCCCACCAACTCTGCATTGAAATACCACAAATGGTTCGAAAATTTGGTTTTCTGTGTCTGTTTTATATGTATTATTTATATACCTGATTTTATATATTTAAATAAAAAACGTTATTAGACTTCTCAGTATTACGTGTTTTTTATTATATTTCTACTTTAAACTCAGAAATATAACAAAATAAAGCAATATTTACCACTTGATAACAAAATATACGAAGTATGCTACTAGTTGTTCCAGGTCACGTTTTTGGGGTTAAAGGCTGTTGTAACTCGGTTTGACTTGAAATAACAACTATGTGTTGAATATAAATTTTCAAGAACGACAATAGCTTTCTTTAGATATTAAGCGTGTTTTTATTATTTAGGGGCCGTTACCAACATAACAAACTTATTTTAAATTTTTGGTATACATATTAAATTCAAATTAACAGTCTTCAGTCCATGAAACCCAAATACATGATTCTAAGTTTTTGATGACATTGGATTTCTTCGATTGCTGCTCAGTGTGAGTCTGCTCGCTTTCATCCGATTTTGGAATGTCTACGTCGTTCTCATCGAGCCGTTCAACATCATGGTGCTCTAAAATTTTAATAATGCACATCAGTTCATTA